CTCCCCACACACCGTCCCTCCACGGCTCCCCACACACCGTCCCTCCACGCTCCCCACACACCGTCCCTCCACGGCTCCCCACACACCGTCCCTCCACGCTCCCCACACACCGTCCCTCCACGGCCATTTCCCCACTCCCTCTGCCTCCACGGGCTTCCCACACACCGTCCCTCCACGCTCCCCACACACCGTCCCTCCACGGCCATTTCCCCACTCCCTCTGCCTCCACGGGCTTCCCACACACCGTCCCTCCACGCTCCCCACACACCGTCCCTCCACGGCATTTCCCCACTCCCTGCCTCCACGGGCTCCCCACACACCGTCCCTCCACGCTCCCCACACACCGTCCCTCCACGGCTCCCCACACACCGTCCCTCCACGCTCCCCACACACCGTCCCTCCACGCTCCCCACACACCGTCCCTCCACGGCTCCCCACACACCGTCCCTCCACGGCCATTTCCCCACTCCCTCCGCCTCCACGGCTCCCCACACACCGTCCCTCCACGGCTCCCCACACACCGTCCCTCCACGGCTCCCCACACACCGTCCCTCCACGGCTCCCCACACACCGTCCCTCCACGGGCATTTCCCCACTCCCTCCGCCTCCACGGGCTTCCCACACACCGTCCCTCCACGCTCCCCACACACCGTCACTCCACGGCTCCCCACACACCGTCCCTCCACGGGCATTTCCCCACTCCCTCCGCCTCCACGGGCTTCCCACACACCGTCCCTCCACGGCTCCCCACACACCGTCACTCCACGGCCATTTCCCCACTCCCTCTGCCTCCACGGGCTCCCCACACACCGTCCCTCTGCCAGGGGCAGCGGCCGAGGCCGGGGCAGCCCTGCCCGGCCCGGGACTGCAAGCTGGTCCCTCACCCTCCCGGGAAGCGGCGGTGGCATGGAGTGCTGTCTGCGCCCTGCAGTTCTCCTGGGACGGCCCTTCGCGCTCAGCGGGCGGAGGGGCCTGGGAAAGTGGCCATGGAGCGGCTGGCGGGGCTCCGGGGGTGAGCCAGGAGGTTACGGTTCAGTCCCGGGTCAGGACACAGGCCTGGGCTGGGAGCTGGATCTCCAGCAGGGGGTGTGCAGGGGTCAGCTGATCCATGATTCTTTCTCATCACTGAAGGGTTTTTCCCATTGATTTTCAGAGAGAGTGGAAGAGAGAGGGAAAGACAGAGAGAAATGTGGATGTGAGAGAAACGCATCCATTGGCTGCCTCCTGCACAGCCCTGACGGGTGATATGCCTGCAGCGGAGGTACATGCCCTCGACCGGAATCGAACCCAGGACCTTTCAGTCTACAGGGCGACCCTCTATCCACCGAGCCAGACCGGCTAGGGCTCCTCGTTGATGTTTTTATCCCTCTCTCCCGCTCCCTCCTCTCTCTGAAATCAATTAGAAAAAATTAAAAAAAATGTATACTTGAATTCTGTTCAGTCTCATTAAACAATGCCACTCCAATACGTTTAATAAAAATACAGGAAAAAGAGGAAATAAGTTGACACGAAAAAGTGATAGAAGGCGCCACCTCTCCTCGGAGTCTCAGTGAGCGAAGGACAGATGGGAAGGATTCTCCAGATCTGAGACAGGGCGGGGGAGGCCTATGGGGAGGGGCGCCTGGCAGGCTCTCCCGCCTCTCCCGCCCGCAGGGCCTGCGGGCGCTGTGAATCTCATTTTAAGTCTGTTCCCTTTGGTTTCCGTGTTTTTGAAAACTTGATTCTGACATCTGTGAGATTTGTGCCCGTCGGAGCCGTTTCCCAGAACAGTTCATCTCCAAAGCCAGCTCATAGAAGCTGCAGAGCAGCAGCAAGGCAGAGACGCTGCGAGGAAATGTAAAAATGCGGAGTCTTCGGCGCTGGGTGCAGCGACTGGGAAGAGATAGTTGCGGGGACTGGCGGAGGCTCTTTGTACGGAGTGGTTATGTGTTCCTCTCTTTCGGGCGGCTGCTGCTTAAAGAGGAGCCTCTGAAATTACTTACTGGCTCATTCTGGGGGAGACGGGAGCGGTAGAGGGCCCTTGCTTAAAAGGAGGCTGAGGACCTGGGAGTTGCATAAAAGCCCACATGGTTTTCCACGTTGGGTGAGGCGAGAAAGGGTGGGGAACCTCCCTGTCACAGGCGAATGGACTAGAAGTGAGTATGTGCCGGGCTGGTGTGGCTCAGTGGTTAAGCACTGACCCAGGAACCAGGGCCAGTTCCTGGCCAGGGCCCATGCCCAGGGCGTGGGCTTGGTCTCCGGTGGGGGCCGTGCAGGGGGCAGCCAATCGATGACTTCCTCTCTCACTGATGTTTTCCTCTCTCTATTCCTCCGCCCCTGTGTTTACGGCTCCGCCTGGGACTGAGTGAGCCCCAGGCCCCCCACAGCTCCGGGGGCAGCAGCTCCGGGGGGCACAGGACACCAGACCCCTCTTCCGCAAGAGCCTCCAGCTGCTTTAGAGACTCTCTCAGCGACGCCCGTCTGTTCCATCTTCCCCCCCATTAGCACAGGGAGGCCCAGAGAAAGAACTTGAGATCCCCCCGCCCCCCATTAGTGTTCCCAGAGTAATTCTTTCGCCGCGCCTGCCCTGTGCTGAGGGGAAGTCCCGGTGAAGGCGGCCTCTGCCCCTCCTGGTTCCGGGTCCCAGCGTGCAGCACCTCCACCCGGGATCGGGGTCCCCTGAGATCCCTGGGCCTCTGCAGCCTGGTATGGAACGTGAGCCCCGCCTGAGCGAGGTGACCCCGAAACGAAATTCTCATTTAAACCAATGGAGCGTGTCTTTTTTTTTTTTTTTTTTTTTTTTTTTTTTAATGGAAAAGGCATCGGGGAGAGGAAAATGGGGACCGTGGACAAGGCATTGGGGGAAATTCCCAGTACCGCCTTCTTTAAAAAACACACAACCCAACTTCTATTGTCTCAGAGAGGAAAGGAGAGGGAGAAAGAAATAGAAACACGGATGATGATGTCTAACTGGTGTGGCTCAGTGGGTGGAGTGTCGGCCTGCGGACTGAAGGGTCCCAGGTTCGATTCTGATCAAGGGCATGTACCTTGGTTGCGGGCACATTCCCAGTGAGGGGTGTGCAGGAGGCAGCTGATCAATGTTTCTCTCTCATCATCAATGTTTCTAACTCCCTCTCCCTTCCTCTCTATAAAAAATAAATAATATATATTTTTTTTTAAAAAAGAAAAATTGATGGTGAGAGAGAGTCATTGACTGGCTGCCTCCCGAAACCCGGGCATGTGGCCTGACCAGGACTCGAACCCTGACCTCTTGGTTCATACGTAGGTCCACGCTCCGAGCCACCACGTCTGGGCTCCAGCACCACCTTCTCATCGCAGTGAGAGAGTGTGGGGTGGAAGAACGAGTGTTTGTGGAGCACCTTCTGGAGGCCGGACACTGTCCCGGCTCCGTGAATGTGGGGGTGAGGGGGAGCCCGTCCTGTCAGCCCCCGGCAGGGTGACCGCGTGAGCGGCCGAGGCTGGAGCAGGACAACCGAGTAGGCAGTGGACACGGTCCGGCTCCCTGCTGTAACCCTGCTGCTGCTGCTGCTGCTGCGATGCCCCTATCAGCTGCCCCCCCCTACCTCCCCATGGAGCTCCACATGCAGGACAGACACAGTCCATCTGAGCCGGTCGGTCCCCGACGCCAGAGAATGCGGCACAGGCTCAGTCCCTCTGAGCCATCCCCGACGCCGGTGAATGCGGCACAGGCTCAGTCCCTCCTGGGCCGTCTCTGAGCCGGTGAAGTCCGCTCATCCTCACCCTCTCAGGAGGCCTCCAGGCGCCCCCCTGCCCGCCCTCCCCGGAGGCGATGGGGGAGGAGGCTCGGTGTCTGTCCTGGGCCAGGGCTCCTGGTAACACCTCCACGGCCCAATGGGCAGGTCTGGTGGCCGAGGCCGTTTTCATTAGAAACAAACAGAATAAAACTCCAGAGTGTGGAGACCGGGCTGCGTTTAGAGAAGAGAAACGAGGGACCCTCAAGGGGCATCTGTGCAGGTGGGAGCAGCCGTGACCTCTGCGCCCTGGGTGCTGGGTCCTGGGTGCTGGGTGCTGGGCTCTGGGTCCTGGGTCCTGGGCTCTGGGTCCTGGGTCCCGGGTCCCGGGTCCTGGGCGCTGGGTCCTGGGCTCTGGGCTCTGGGCTCTGGGTCCTGGGTCCTGGGTGCTGGGCGCTGGGCCCTGGGTCCTGGCTCTGGGCTCTGGGTCCTGGGCTCTGGGTCCTGGGCTCTGGGCGCTGGGTCCTGGGCCCTGGGCCCTGGGTCCTGGCTCTGGGCTCTGGGTCCCGGGTCCTGGGTGCTGGGTCCTGGGCCCTGGGTCCTGGCTCTGGGCTCTGGGCCCTGGGTCCTGGGTGCTGGGCCCTGGGCCCTGGGTCCTGGCTCTGGGCTCTGGGCCCTGGGTCCTGGCTCTGGGCTCTGGGTCCTGGGTCCTGGCTGGAGGGAAGGAGAATAGGATCCTGTTCTTGCTTCTCCGGAGTGGCGGCGGGTTCCCACCTCTGGGACCGGAGCGGAGGGCGGAGGCGGAGGGCGCCCGCCGGGAGGAGGCGCCGGAGGAAGCGGGGCCGGGAAGGTGGGGCCTCGCCTCCGCCGGAGCCTCCCGTCCGTCCCGCCGCCCTCGGCCTGGTCCCCGGGGACCCGGCGGCGCCGCGGGAGGGAGGCGGCGAGTCCCGCTCCGGCCGGGAGGGGGCGCCCCGGGTCCCGTCCCGGCTCCGGGCTGCGGGCGCGCGGGAAGCGGAGGAGCGGAGGAGCGGGGCCGGAGGACGAGGAGGAGCCGGCGGAGGAGGAGGAGGGAGCGGAGCGGAGGAGCGGGGGGAGGAGGAGGAGGAGCGGGAGGAGGCCCGGCCCGCGGCGGGCGGCGCGCAAACTTCGCTCGCGGCCGGAGCCGGAGCCGGAGCCGGAGCCCGGAGGCCGCGGAGGAGCGGAGGAAGAGGAGGGAGCGGAGGAAGAGGAGGAAGAGGAGGAAGAGGAGGAAGAGGAGGGAGAGGAGGGAGCGAAGGGAGAGGAGGGAGAGGAGGAGCGGAGGAGCGGAGGAGCGGAGGAGCGGAGGAGCGGAGGAGCGCAGGGAGAGGAGCCCGCGGAGGGCGCCGGCCCGGCAGCGGAGGAGGAGGTACGGGGGGGGGTGGGGGTCGAGGGGTCCCGGCCGCGGGGAGCGCCGCCTCCCGGGCCCCGAGTGCGCCCGCCGGCCGGGGCCGACCGGGACCTCCGGGGGCGCGGCCGGGAGGGGGCCGGGCGGGGATCGGGGATGGGGATCGGGTCTGGGGATCGGGATCGGGTCCGGGGCGCAGGTCGGGCACCTCCGGGGCCGGGGCCGGGAGGGGGCCGGGCGGGGATCGGGGATCGGGGATCGGGTCTGGGGCGCAGGACGGGGACCGCGGGGCCGGGGCCGGGAGGGGGCCGGTCCGGGGATCGGGGTCCGGGGATCGGGGCCGGGAGGGGGCCGGGAGGGGGCCGGGGGATCGGGGGCCGGGGATCGGGGCCGGGGCCGGGGCCGGACCTGGGGCCGCGGTGTTGGGGCCGGAGGGGGACGCAGCCCCCGGACCCCGCGCGGAGCCCCGGCCCGGGCCTGGCGGCGGGGGCGCCGGGAGGAGGGAAACTTCTGCGGAGCAGCCTCCGCTCTGCGGGCGCCGGGCGGCGGGTGCCTGTGGCGGGGCCTCCGCCCCCCGGCCCGGCTTCCCCGGCCCGAACCCGCCTCGGGGCTCCCCGAGCCCGGCCGCCTTTCGGGCGCTCCGCCGCCGGGAGGGGCCGGGGAGGGGGCCGGGCGGGCGGAGGGGTGGGTCCCCAGAGCTCGGCGGCGGACACCCCGGCGGGCCCGGAGGGACCAGCCCCGGCCATGGCCATGGGGGGGCGGGGGCCCCGCTTTGGGGGCAGGACGCCGCCCGGGGGGTGGGGAGGGCCTGTCTGGCCCGGGGGCGCCCCGGGCGGAGGGGGCGCTGCGGGGCGGTGGGGTGCCCCGCGGGGGCGGTGGGGTGCCCCGCGGGGGCGGAGGGGGCGCTGCGGGGGCGGAGGGGTGCCCCGCGGGGGCGGAGGGGTGCCCCGCGGGGGCGGAGGGGGCGCTGCGGGGGCGGAGGGGTGCCCCGCGGGGGCGGTGGGGTGCCCCATGGGGGCGCCGGGGCCTTGGGGGCCGGGGGAGGCCGGGGGCGGGGGCCGCTGGGAGGGGAGGTGGACAGGGTCAGTCTGGGGGTCTCCCGCCGCCGCCCGCCGGCCTCCCCTCCGTCCGACCCCCCCAAACCCACAGAGCCCCGCCCCTCCGCCCCCCAAACCCACAGAGAGCCCCGCCCCTCTGCCCCCCAAACCCACAGAGCCCCGCCCCTCCGCCCCCCAAACCCACAGAGCCCCGCCCCTCCGCCCCCCAAACCCACAGAGAGCCCCGCCCCTCCGCCCCCCAAACCCACAGAGCCCCGCCCCTCCGCCCCCCAAACCCACAGAGAGCCCCGCCCCTCCGCCCCCCAAACCCACAGAGCCCCGCCCCTCCGCCCCCCAAACCCACAGAGAGCCCTGCGGGGACTGCAGGATGGACCGGCCTGGGGGGGCCCCGGAAGGGGCCCGGCTGGCGGCCCAGCCCGGGAGCCGGGCTGAGGAGCAGGGAAGCCTGCCCCGTCCTTGGAGGGAGCTGCTGGGTGCTGCTGGGTGCTGGGAGCCGCTGGGTGCTGCTAGGTGCTGGGAGCCGCTGGGTGCTGGGAGCCGCTGAGTGCTGCTGGGTGCTGGGAGCCGCTGGGTGCTGGGAGCCGCTGGGTGCTGGGTGCTGAGTGCTGCTGGGTGCTGGGTGCTGCTGGGTGCTGGGGTTAAACAGGGGTTTCTTTTGCAGTGAGAGTGTTTCACTGACTACGATCCGCCTTTTGGGGAAAAAAGGAAACTAAACAGCTCAGAGCCGGCTGGCTCAGGGGTTGAGCATGGACCTGTGAACCAGAGGGTCAGGGGTTTGAACCGGTCAGGGCACAGGCCCGGGTTGCAGGCTCCATCCCCACTGGGGGCGTGCAGGAGGCAGCCGGTCCGTGATTCTCTCTCATCATCGATGTGTCATCTCTCTCCCTCCCTCCCTCCCTGACATCAATACAAATGTATATATTATATTTAAACAGTAAAGGGACACGGAGTGCGGCCGGCTGTGCCGCAGAGCCGGGGCTGGGGGTTGCCCAGGCCGAGCAGCCCGGCGGTGCGGAGCCGCTTGCAGAGCTCATACTTTGTTGCATTCGCCTCCTCAGCGGGAGGACTTGCTGAAACTTCCCTCCCTCGACCTTGACCTCCTTTGTTTCCGTGGCCAGTGAGCGCGGGCCGGGCTGTGAGCAGATGGCTTCCCCTAAGGGACACCGCGGTGAGGGCTCCTCCAGGGCCAGCGATGCGGGTCACGGAGTTAACGGGGACCCGGGCCCGGCCGCCTGTCTGTGGGACAGCGTCCAGGGATCCCAGTCCCCACAGCCCCTGCCCGGCCGCCTGTCTGTGGGATCCCAGTCCCCACAGCCCCTGCCCGGCCGCCTGTCTGTGGGACAGCATCCAGGGATCCCAGTCCCCACAGCCCGGGGCCGGCCGCCTGTCTGTGGGACAGCGTCCAGGGATCCCAGTCCCCACAGCCCTGGGCCAGCCGCCTGTCTGTGGGACAGCATCCAGGGATCCCAGTCCCCACAGCCCGGGGCCAGCCGCCTGTCTGTGGGGACAGCATCCAGGGATCCCAGTCCCCACAGCCCGGGGCCGGCCGCCTGTCTGCGGGACAGCATCCAGGGATCCCAGTCCCCACAGCCCGTGCCCGGCCGCCTGTCTGCGGGACAGCATCCAGGGATCCCAGTCCCCACAGCTCGGGGCCGGCCGCCTGTCTGTGGGACAGCGTCCAGGGATCCCAGTCCCCACAGCCCTGGGCCAGCCGCCTGTCTGTGGGACAGCATCCAGGGATCCCAGTCCCCACAGCCCGGGGCCGGCCGCCTGTCTGTGGGGACAGCATCCAGGGATCCCAGTCCCCACAGCCCGGGGCCGGCCACCTGTCTGTGGGACAGAGTCCAGGGATCCCAGTCCCCACAGCCCCTGCCCGGCCGCCTGTCTGTGGGACAGCATCCAGGGATCCCAGTCCCCACAGCCCGGGGCCGGCCGCCTGTCTGTGGTGGGCAGGGCCCTGGTGCAGGCTCTGCTGGCTCCACCTGCAGGGGCAGCGTCCAGGGATCCCAGTCCCCACAGCCCGTGCCCGGCCGCCTGTCTGTGGGGACAGCGTCCAGGGATCCCAGTCCCCACAGCCTGTGCCCGGCCGCCTGTCTGTGGGGACAGCGTCCAGGGATCCCAGTCCCCACAGCCTGTGCCCGGCCGCCTGTCTGTGGGGACAGCGTCCAGGGATCCCAGTCCCCACAGCCCGGGGCCGGCCGCCTGTCTGTGGGACAGAGTCCAGGGATCCCAGTCCCCACAGCCCGGGGCCGGCCGCCTGTCTGTGGGACAGCATCCAGGGATCCCAGTCCCCACAGCCCCTGCCCGGCCGCCTGTCTGTGGGGACAGTGTCCAGGGATCCCAGTCCCCACAGCCCGTGCCCGGCCGCCTGTCTGTGGGACAGAGTCCAGGGATCCCAGTCCCCACAGCCCGGGGCCGGCCGCCTGTCTGTGGCGGGCAGGGCCCTGGCGCAGGCTCTGCTGGCTCCACCTGCAGGGGCAGTGTCCAGGGATCCCAGTGCCCCCACCACACGGCGCAGCACGCCAGGCTCTGCTCCTGAGCCCGGAGCAGCCCGGAGCCCGAGCCTGTCTGCACAGATCCTGCTTCTACGGAGTGAAACAGTCTGTCCGCTCGGGGGGCACAGGCCCGCTGGGGGGGAGGGGGGCTGGGGCAGGCGTGGGTCAGCACTCAGCGCGGCCTGCACCTCCTCTGGGTGGGAGCCGCGATGGGAGTGTCCGGGGGTGGACGGCCGGTCCCTGGCCGCGGGCTCGTGTGATGTCCCCGCTGCCCCTCGCAGGGGGAAGAGACCTTCCTGTCGTCACCACCAGCCCCCGAGCGTCAAACGTCCAGATCGTGTCCGTAGGCGTTCCCGCTCGGACGGCAGGGTCTGGGCTCCGCGGGCTCCCCGGACGCGCTGGAGGTCACAGAGGTCACACACCGAGGCCACACAGTCCCTTCCCCGCAGAGCACATGGCTTTAGCGTGTCGGCCGCAGCCATCGCCGGGTGAGAGGCGGGGCAGTGCGTGTTCGCATCGGAGCCTGTCGGTGAGCTCGGTGACGGGGAAAGCTGGGTCCCTCTCTCCCTCCGGCAGAAAAGAGCCATCGGCACCTTCCTTCATCGGCGTTTCATCCTGTGTTTGTCCCCGGCTCGTATTTCTGAGACGTTACCGGATGGGCTTGCAGAGTTGGGTTCTGCGATTGAAGGAGGAACATGCATTTACGGAGCACACACCTGCTTTCCCGTGGCTTCCTTACGGCCCCGAGGGCAGCAGCAGGAGCCGGTGTAAGAACTGGTGCAGGCTCTAATTGACCCCTTCGTTCCCAGCACTGCGACCGGAGGAGGTGTGGCTTTGTCTGAACCTGTCCCTCCTTCCCGGAAGCAGCGCCCAGGGCGGCGGGTCCGGCGGGTGGCCGCCCTGCGGTCGGAGTCAGGACGTTTCACTGGGCCCCGGGGGAGGTGACATATGTTCACCTGGAAGAGGGAACGGGTACAGACTCTGCACAGAGAAACCTCGTTCCGTTCAAGCGGGGGAGATAAGACATTGGAATCAGACCTTCACTTTTATAAACAGTGTTCCAGAGCGAGGCTGGAAAATGGTGTTTGTGTTTGTTTTTGTTTTTTTAAAAGACTGTTGTCGGCGAGTTTTCTGTTTGCTTCGTGCCCAGAGAATGCTCCCAGCTCCCCTGGCGATGCTCACCGCGCGGGATGACTGTTCTGGGGAGACAGCTGCTCACCTGGTAACCGTGCGGAGAAAAAGGGCTGTTTTCCGTTTCCGCTGGAATAGTGTGGTTCCGTAGACTGGGAGTCCGTCTCGTCTTTCACGTCGTGTCCTTAGGTGGCTTTGGGGGCGCCCGTTGGCTCACCCGACACGGATAAGAGGGGGATCTGTGTCACAGCCGTGGTGGCTGCTTTGTGCTGAGCTGCCTTGCAGAGATCACGCGTGTTCGAAGGCGTTTTAAGGACGCTGCGTGGTTCTGGGGCGC